CCCTGTAGTCTATTCCATTGCCTCACTGTTCTAACAGTAAGATTTTCCTAATATCCAATCTAAACCTATTTCGCTACACTATCAAGCAACTGATATGCATCCCCATATCATGCTCCCTCATAATCACTTTTTTTGGAAACTGAACAAGCTTATTTCTCTCAACCTCTCCTCATATAGCTTGTCTTCCAAGCCTTTTATGATTTTTGTCACCCACATTTGGACACTAAGGTTGCTTGCAGATGTTAAAAAACAAACAAAAACCCCTGCACTTTATCAGGAGAAGCAGTGCATTAGCTGGACCCGGCTCTGCAATGTCTGTATAGATTGGGTGCTTCAGCACAACTTTTTGATGCTTTTATCTAAAACTGAGTCAGTCAATCAGCTATTAAAAGCACTAAAAATCCCCACTAAAGCATCCAATCTATACAGACATTGGGCAAGTTGGGTCCAACTAATGCATTGCCTCTTTTGGGCATGCGCTGGGTTTGGAGCTGGAGTGTGCCAAGTTTACAGTAAAGCGCTGTTTTTGGCAGTTTTTTTTAACATCTGCAAGCAGCCTAACTTCATGTCCATGTCCTTTTCAAAACACAAAGCCCAGACTTGCACACCCCAATACTCTAAATGAGGCCTACTCAGGGCCAAGCAGAAATGCACTAATTCCTCCTATGTCTTGAATCTAAAACTCCTTTTGATGCAACCCAAAAATAAATTTCCCTTTCTTGCAGCAGCATCACATTACAGATGCATGTTGAATCTTTTATCCACCGAGACCCCAAGATCTTTATCTGCCATCCAGCTAGTTATCAACCATTCTGTTTCTGTGCTTTTCATGATTCTTTTCTAAGTCTAGCACTTTACATTTGTTAGCATTGAACTTCACCCTGCTTTCGCTAGTCCAGTTTTCCAGTCCATCAAGATCCTTCTGAATTCTACTCCTACTCACCAGTGTGATAGCAGTCCTTATCAGTTTCATGTAATCTGTAAATCTTCTCAGGAATCTCTCTAATCCAAAACATGTTGAACAGCACTAGACTAAAAAAGAGAGCCCTGTGGAACTCCAGTCAACACTTTGTGGCATTCCAGCATTGATTCATTTACAATTATCCTTTATTAATGGTTATTAAGCTAATTGTCTATCCACCTTGTAGTAGTTTTGTCTAGCCCACATTTCTCCAATTTGTTTATAAGAAGTTCATGTGGGACTTTGGCAAGAGCCATATGATGTAGGAAGAGGTCTGTGTCCTTTCTGTAACTGCCAAATACCTTATGTTGCTTGTACTTCAGCATATAGAAGGGAAAGTAAAATAAAAGGACAGTGCTCAGTCCTGAAATGGTTGCTGGTTGAACCTGTTTCCTGAACGGCTTCTATCACTGTTGGAAACACACGTTGAGTTTCACACGCATATTTGAAGCTCTGGGAGGTGACAGTTGCTATAAAAAGAGCTGACAATTTTCAGTGAAGCAGAATTTACATATGTTACCACTGCTGCTGCTTATATAAGTGATTTCTGACTAACCACAAATCCAAAAAGCAGATCCTGTAATAGACTTTTAAACAACCCTCTTGAAACCTAGCTATTGTGCAAATGTTACCATCACATGAAACACACCAACAGGAGGTGCTGTGTTGCCTTTAGGGAACTTACTCTTCTACTCAGAGGGCCACAGCTTTTAGGGAGTATTTAGACCCAACAACCAGCAGCTCCCTGATTACAGACTGTGGGGAGGGAGGGATATCCCACAAAAAGTTCCACCCAACTGGTTTAACATTACCTTTTACCCTACAAAGTCTAGGTTGCAGCCACAGCCAGTGCAACGCTTTGCACGTTTATGAGGTGTCCAGATCACCTCCCTATGCTGCCCTTCACATTCCTCTTGGCCCTCACTAAGGGGACTGAACAGGAGCACATGTAGCTATGAAGCTCAGCTCTTCTACTGGTGGATTTCTAGCTCAGCTATTTCAGGTTCTATATAGCTCTAGTATGCCATCACAGCAAGTAGAGGCCAAGGGAACTGTTAAGAGATCATTGGGACCATGCTACACTCTAGACCTATGTGCTAATGGCAGTTCCACCTGCCCTGTGACTATGTTCAACTATTCCAAATGAAATGGACTCTGACCCAAAGCGGGAGGTAGCAGCCCTGCTTCCAACCTGAACACAAAGCCACCTGTATAATGGAGCTGTGGCTACACAGATCTCCTCTATGTGCTACAATAAGAAGGGGATTGCATGTTTCCATGTTCAGTAATTCCATGTTTGTACAGTATTTAGCAAAATGGGACCCAGTGTGTCTTTGCTCTTGAGGTACTGCAAAGAGACAGAGACAACACAGCATCTGAGAGCCAGAATGCAGCTATCCCAGTGGTCCCCAAGCTGTGTTGCATTTGAGAGATGCTATAGGACAGCAGGTACTGAATGAGCTCTGAGAGCCAATGCAAAACCTGACTGCTTATGGACTTCACCAGGGTAGTCCCATTCCTTTCGTTACTCCTGAACATATCCATGGCTTTGCAATACTGCTGCAGCCCTGATATTAGGAATGAGCTTCATTTTTTTAAGTGTCTGAACTTAGCACATGCATTTGTGTGTGATAGGGAGAGAGAGAGAGAAAGAGGGGGCGGGGAGAGAGAGCTGCAGTATTTCTGGTATTTCTGGTGTATTTTGGGATTATTGTTGCTCTCAAGTCTTTTGCTTATGTGGTCACCTCCTAATCAATTATAATTTTGTGTCCTTTCCCTATCTTTGGTGCTGCATAAGCTGATAATAACACGTTTTCACTAACATAAGAGCTCTCTGGGCATTGAAAACACCCTCAGTAATGAGTATGTTTACTTCAGTCTCTAGCACAGACATTTGTTTCTACCTGTCCACACCCAAGCCATTAATAAGGCTCTCCAGAGCCATATGTGTCCTGCACTGAAAATATGCCTCACTACCCCACAGCAGGAAACACTCTTTTCATCCTTGCAACAGCCAAAAATCTGCTACTGAATCCCAGAAATGTTGTTTTATTGTGTAGATGAGAGTATGATTTCGTAACATTGGTTAACTCTTCATTTGCTTAATGATCACAATGGCCTCCCAGGATTATATTGTCAGGGGGCTGTGATATCACTGTGGGATTCTGGGTAAATATAGGGGTGCTTAGCCTGTGCTGTGCTCTGTGCAGACTCACCTAGGCTGATATTAGCACCCAAGCTGGCTGTTCAAACTACAGTCACACCTTTGACTGCAGTGCCGACGTACCAAGTGACTTCAGCAAGGTGAGAAGTGTGTCCAAGATGGAGGGATTGTAAAGAAAAGCAAAAAGATTGTGGGAAATATTGCCTTTCACTGGAAGTAAAGTTCGTCTCTCTACACATTTCGTTTTGGCTCCCAAGATTACTAGAACCCCTGGACAACTCAGTAATTAATTAGAAATATATAAAAATGTGTTCAATAGCTTTTCAAGTGGTCTTATAGCTGGAGAAGCCTTGTCAGATATCTTACACACTGAACTGGCAAAGGTCTCAAGGCAGGGTTCTGAAGTTGATCAAGAGCATAGAAATGCATCTGATCTCACAACATTGTGCAGAGAGACTAGCATTTCTGCTTCCTTTCTGGTTAGGAGGTACATACAAAGAAAGTCCACGCAGACTTTTCTGCATTTGGACTAAAGAAACAAATGGACAATGCTAAACCTATGAGTCAAATCCTGCTGTATGATAGAGACAGCCTCTGTTCTTAAAAGCACACCTGTTCAGCATCTGGGTCAGAGTTTCACGTAGGCTGGAGGACTAGCTCTGCTGCTTGTTGATGTTCTATGTCCCCAAAGGGCATGGTCTACAAGTTTAAGGTCATGGCAAGGCCCAGCACACCATTACAGAGACAATCCATCCATTTGCCCTTTGAAACCAGAAACAAGCCAGGCCTAGGCCTGTTCAGCAGTGTCCTGTTAACAACTGAGATACTCCTTCAGTTCATCCACAGGAAGCAGGCAGCTTATGCTTTGAGAATGGAAGGACATTGTTTCAATCCCCGAGGCCATGATGAAGGGATGGTGTAGAGTTCACTGAGGCACAGTAGAATTTTTGACAGAAAAGTCAGAAGTCAAACCTGAATGTCTGTAAGCCCTGCATGCTAAGAGTAAGCCTGATGTATTTAGGAGAGCAGGTGCATAAGTGCACTAGGCATTTCTCTGTGATAGATTCAGAACTGTTTTCCTTGCTGTCATGGGCCTTATGCTCCTGACAGCTAGCAGAGATTCTCCCTTCAGTCCGGCAGTAGGAATGTATTGGGAATCAGGGCTCTGCCCCGGTTAAAGCTGTGAAGCTCCCTGAGGTTACATGGCACAGCACCAGAATACCACAGCAGTTCTAGCCGGCAGGGAACTGTTACAGCATGGAATGATCTCCCTGACCCACCCTGTGCCCTCACAGACCCAATAAAAGGAAACCACAATGACCACTTGGAAAAAAAAAAATTGCCCACTTATATTTGAACTGTGTATGTGACTGACAGGAGCCATCACCTCAATCATGGGCTATCCTACTGGTATCACCTGTGTAAAATCTAAGATCCAAATACTATTTCACCTCTAAGGTGCCTAAGAGGTACTTAGGCACCTAAGTGTAATCCTGTTCCACCCTGCTCACACCCCTTACAAATATTAATGCAAAAAATGGGTGATTTAATGAAAAAGGCAGATGGATTCTCCACCTTCTTGCCATTTCTTGTTGCTTAGTGTTGAGGCCTTTAAGGTGAAAGAATGTTACAAAAGTTTTTCAGGGACTTTAGCAGGGGGTAACAAGATTGCATTTAGGTACCTAAGTAGTGCCAGTACTTTAGCACCTTAGAGGTGAAATAGGATTTTGGACCCAAGTGTCCAGAGCAGCCTGCAGCTGGGACTACAGCCTAGTCCTTGCCCTTCTCTGCAGGTCGTGGATGTGCACACTAAGGCATTTCTGCTGCCATTCTGCAAAACTTTTCCCCTTTTCACTGCCACGCGCTTGTACCAACCTCCAGGCCTGTCGACATGCAGACATCAGCCTAGAACACGGAGACAGTCCCTGGATGGCGTCCACCCTGTGAGAGCCCAGCCCCTGGTGCCGTAGCGGTGTCACGGGAAGTGCTCAGGTGAGCCCCTCTGCCGGCGCGTCCTCGGCCACGCAGCTCCCGGCCGGAGGGGCAGCGCCTCCTGGCGCCCGGGGCGCGGCCCGCAGAAGCCGCCCACCTGGACCGTGAGCAGCCTCCGGGGCGGAGGGTCCACAGTGGCCCCAGGGGGCTGCG